TTCCTCCTCCTTCCACCTTCTTCTTCGAGACAGGGCCTCCCTGTAGCCCCAGCTGGCCTAGAACTCACTATGTAGACCAGGCTGGTCTTGAACTCACAGAGCTCTGCCTGCCTCTGCCTCCCGAGTGCTGGGGCTAAGGGCGTGTGCCACCACGCCCAGCTTGCTGGAGCACATTTGGAATAGGCAAGCGTACTTTTGGAATTAAAATCTTTCCTGGGGCTAGAGAGATGGCTCAGTGGTTAAGAACACTAGTTGTTCTTGCAGAAGATGCAGGTTTGAATCCTTTTTAGTTTGAAATTGCAAAGTCCAAAGAAATTCCATATGATGTCCTTCCTGATTTCCTAAGTGCTAATACTATTCTACATTCACTACGACTTCCCCTTCTCTTTCACCCAAGTATTTTCAGCAGTCTTAAATAGCCTCTTGGTTGGTTTGTTTATTTTGTTGTTTTTGTTATCATTGTTGTTTGGTTGGTTAGATGGGTGAGTTTTGTTGTTGTTTCTTTAATGTGTATAAGTATTTTGCCTGCATATATGTAAGTGCATCATGGACATGCGTCCATGCAATGTCCATGGATCTTGAATCCTCTGGAACTGGAGTTATAGATTGTTCATAGCCACCATGTGGTTGTGGGAACTAACCCCAGATCCCCTGCAAGAGCTTTGCTACTCTTAACCACTGATCCATCTCTTCAGCCTCAGGTTGTGGGGTTTTGGGGGTTTTTTATTTGTATTTGAGACAGGGTGTCATTATGTAGCTGTGGCAGACCTAGAATACACTATGTAAACCAGACCCGCCTCAAACCCACAGAGCTCTGCCTGCCTCTACTTCCTCAGTGCTAGGATTAAAGGTGCGTGCCACCACACCTGCCAAGTATTTTCCTTACTAATTAATTATTTATTTATAAATTATTTGTTTTCCATGGTACACATGTGGGGATCAGAGGGCAACTTTCAGGAGTCAATTCTCTCCTACCATCGTGTGGGGTCCTGAGGTGTGAGATTTGGCTGCAGGCACTTTTACTCGCTAAACCATCTAGTTGGCCCTTTTCTTCCCATTTATTTATTTGCTTATTGTATATGTGCTTGTATGTGTTTATTTTTTGAGACAAGTTCTCACTATTTTGCCCAATCTGGCCTCCAACTCATGGCACTCCTCTTGCCTCGGTCCCTTGAGTGCTGGGATTATAGGTGTAGGCCACCAAGTCTAACTCCTCAGTATTCAATACAGTGTAACTGGAGAGCACTCCTTGGTGCAGATTCCATGTGTTACGTCATTCTCCACACCCATAAATACCTGTAAAGGTTATTTGTGTTGTATGCTCCAAGGGATAGTTCACTGACCAGTGAGTATGAGGTAAAGGATGAGACATTAAGACATTAGTGCTTTTTGCTCTTGGGTAGAGATCCCTTCCCTATGTCTCTGAGACCAAGAAGTATTCTACAGTCGTGTTGCATGTTGCACACAGCCTCGTTGCCACCTGCACTCTCAGCCACTTATTCTAATTTCAAGTAACTGGTTCAGAGCCTTCTTTGAAATAACAACTGTACTTGTTTGTTTTCTTTCTTCATAAAGACCTGAGGATGAGATGTTTTTAAAGAGGCTTTCTAGTAATTACTTGGTGGAAAAGGACTACAATGCTCCCCTTTTCTACAGAGAAGAAGGAAACAAAAAATTCCAAGAGAAGGAATACACAGGAGCCGCGGTGCTATACTCCAAGGTAAAATGCTTCCATCCCAGCAATTCAACAAAGCATATTTCTGCAGAAGTAGAGTCATAATACTAAGTTTCAGAGCCAGTGTTTTGGGTTTTGTTGTTGTTGTGTATAATTTGTGGATTGGCTTAGAAAATCCTGGTAGGGGGGCTGGAGAGATGGCTCAGCAGTTAAGAACACTGGCTGTTCTTGCAGAAGACCCAGGTTCAAATCCCAGCACCCACATGGCAGCTAACAACTGTCCATAACTCCAGTTCCAGGGGATCCGACGCCCTCTTCTGTCCTCTGTGGGCATTGTATGACATGGGTGTAATTACTACATTCAGGCAATACACTCATACACATAAAATAATAAATATTAAAAAAAACTGGTAGAATTCTGCTGTTGGTTACAATCTCAAAGAATAGTTTATATGTCCTGCATTTTGTCAAGAAGCTTTTGTTCCCATATTCCTTCAGACAGCTAGTAGCGACGAGCTTGTTGGTCCCTTGTCTTGCTTTGCCAGGTCTGTTAGCTCTCACTGAATTGCATGCCATTTTTCGTTTGACTGATAAGAATGGTATCTTGATAGTTCAGAGAACAGTTAGATTTTTAGCTAGTCAACAGTGTTAGCTTACAAACAGTATGACTTAGATACGGTTAGAAAAGAGGATGAGCTGATTTCCCACAGCCCAGTTGAAAGAGATTTTGATGGTCATCAGTGAGTATATTAATATTAGTGATAATTAACAGATATTTTGCATTACACTAAGCATCACCAAACTAAATTTTGAAGAGGATTTTTAACAATCTGTCATCCTTATTGACCTGCTTCCATGGTAGGAACTGAAACAAAATCCACTGAGAGACTTCCTTTTATAACTTTTTCAGAGCTTTATATGAACTTAAAACAAGAATGTGTTTCAGATCCTTGATCTGTTGTCTTGTATATTAAAAGAATGAGTTGAACTGTGTGTGGTGGTGCTCACCTTTCATCCCAGTACCTGTCAGGCAGATCTCTGTGGTTCAAGGCTAGCTTGGTCTACATAGCAAGTTCCTGGCCAACCAGGGCTACACAGTGAGACCCTATCTCAGAAAAACAAAAAAGAATGAGTTGAGCCAAGTGTAGTAGCACATTCCTATAATCCCAGCTTTCAGGAGATAGAAGGATTAGAAGTTCAAGGCTAGCTTTAGCTATGTAACAAGTTTGAGGCTACCCTAGGCTATATGAGACCCTGTCTAAGACAAGGGGAAAGGATGTAAGGGGCTAAAGGTGAAGTGTAGCTTAGTGGTACAACACTTGCCTAGCATGCATGAGGCCCAAGATTTGATACCCAGCACTGGGGTTAGAGGTGTTATACTTCTACTCAATCTTTAACATGTGGGTGCACATGTATGTGCATGTACATAGCACTGGAGACCAAACACAGGATTTGTAGGGATTCTAAGCAAACATTCTACCACTGAGCTATATCTAGGCCACCTTCAACTTTCTTCAGATCCCATCTCTTTGTTTGTTGTTTTGTTTTTTGAGACAAGGTCTTACTATGTAGCCCCAGCTTGTCTGGAACTCACAATGTAGACCAGGCTGACCTCGAACTCACAGAGACCTTCTTGCCTCTGCCTCCTGAGTGCTGGGATTAAAGGCGTGTGCCACCACATCTGACCCTGAGATTTTAGCTCCCTCTTTCTCTTTTTCTCCCTCCTTCCCCCCTTGAGTTCAATTCCCAACACCTACAGGGTGGCTAATAACTGTCCTTAACACATAAAAAATAATAAGTAAAACAATAAAAAACCTTGGAATTAATATTCCAGAAACTATCACAGTTATTATAACTGTTTTCTCTACAAACTGATAAAAACCCTACTTTGTAGTGGTATAATAAGTATTAAATGAAATAATGTAAGCTTTAGCAATTGTCAATCTCTCTTCAACCTTTTGCCTTTACATCATAAATGTGATTGCATGGAAAATTGTTCAAAGAAAACAGGTAAAATAAGAAATATGGGCCAGGCATGGTGGTACATGCCTTTAATCCCAGCACTTGGGAGGCAGAAGCAGGTGGATCTCTGTGAGTTCAAGGCCATCCTGGTCTACATAGTGAGTTCCAGGAAAGCTGGGGCTACAGGGAGACCCTGCCTCAAAAAGACCAAAAAAAAAAGAAATGTGGAGCTGGAGATGCTTAGTGGTTAAAAGAACTTGCTGCTCTTGCAGAGGACCTGAGTTTGGTTCCCAGTACCCACATCAGGCAGCAGTTCACAACTGCCTGTAACTCTAGCTCCAAGGATTCAATTCCATCTTCTGACTTCCTTGGGTACCTGAACTCACATGAACAAACCTCCCACCCCACCTCCACACACACTCACATTTTAAAATGAAATAAAATAAGGCTCTTTTTTTTTTTTTTTTTTTTTTTTAAATAAAATGAACTCCAGAACAAATTCACCACCAGCCTGGGCAACACACACACACCCTGTCTCAAGAAGGGAAAGAGAAAACTAAGGCTTGTTCTGGAACATAGAGAAGCACACTTCCTATCTCACAAAGCTGATGTCTTGATGATTATGTCTTTTGCAATTTTATAAAAAGCAGCTATTTTCTTTCTTTTTAAAAGTAATACTGGTTGTTTTTGTCTGTAAAAGTAATAAATGTTACTTTGAAAAATATAGAGAAATATAAAGAGTAAAAAAAGTCATAACCAGTGATAAGTACTGTTAACATTTTTGCTTATATCCAGCCAGCCAGCCTTTTTCCTGTGAAAATGTGTTTTTCTCTTACAAAATTGGGATAATGCTGCACTTAGTGTTTTGTAACCTGCTTTTTCCCCCTCAACAATTTATTGTGCCCATTTTCTCATGTTATTAAATTTTCTACTACAAGATGATTTTCCACAGCTAGCTCAGTGTTCTGTTACAGAGAAGAAATATACTTAATTTAACATCTAACATTGGCATATTATTTGGTATTATGATGCTGTAACAAGCATCTTTCTGTATAAATATTTATGTACAACTTTTTTCTTTAGGATAAATTAGTAGAAGGATAAATTTCTGGGTCAAAGGGAATTTTTTTTAAGGCCTTTTTAAGGTACTGATGCCGAATTGTTCTCCAGAAAGAACTAGTTAGCAACCATTCTGACAATATGGGAATGTTCATTTCTCTATATCTTAAGCATTACTGGCTGTTATTATATATTAATAATTTCATTATTATTGTATAATTTTTAGATAGAAAATATGTTCATATAGTTAAATTTCCAAAAGTTGTAAGAGTGCTAGAGAGCTGGCTCAGCAGTTAGAGCATTGGTGGCTCTTGGTTCCCAGCACCCACACGACAGCTAATAACCGTCTGTAACTCCAGTTCCAGGGGATCCTTGTCTGGCCTCTGTGGGCATTGCATGCACATGGTACACCTACATATATATGCAGACAAAATACTGATTCACATAAAATAAATTTTGTAAAAAGCAATCAATCAGGGCCAGACGTGGTGGCACACACCAGCATTCGGCAGGCAGAGGCAGGCAGATCTCTGCCTTCAAGGCCAGCCTGGTCTACATAGTGAGTTCCAGGCATGGTGGCACACGCCTGTAGTCCCAGCATTTGGGAGGTGGGAGGCAGAGGCAGGCAGATCTCTGTGAGTTCAAGGCCAGCCTAGTCTACATAGTGAGTTCCAGGACAACTTGGGCTACAGGGAAACCCTGTCTCAAAAAGACCAAAAAAAAAAAAATTGCAAAAATGTTCAGTGTAGTCACTTTTTTCCTGCCCTCCACCCCCGGCCTAACCTCGTTTTCTATCCCTGTAAACTAGCCCTGTTAAGTATACTGTATATGAGGCATATACAAATGAATGAAACTAGCCAAACATAGTGGTATAAACCTCCAGCTGCTTGAGTGACTGAGGCAGAAAGATCATGAGTTCAGGAGTTCAAGACTAGTATGGGGTGCATAGTAGCCCAGGCTGGCCTCAAACTCTTATGTAGCTGCATCTCATTCTCCTGCCTCCACCTCCCAAGTGCTAGAATTACAGGTGTGCACCACCATGCCCAATGCATTCATTTTTAGTTAGCATACAAGATAATAGCTTTCATTGTGACATTTTGTGTTCTTATTCACGTGTATTATTGTACCCTGTTCATCTTCATCTCCACTACTTTCTCTGTCCCTCTTCCTTTCCTCTCAAGTAGTCTCCCTTCTACTGTGTATGGATGCACATGTGTGTGCATGTACATAGCACTGGGAACCAAACACAGGACTTGTAGGGATTCTAGGCAAACATTCTACCACTGAGCTATATCCCTAGGCCACCTTCAGCTTTTTTCATATCCCATTTCTTTGTTCGTTGTTTTATTTTTTGGGACAAGGTCTTACTATGTAGCCCCAGCTTGTCTGGAACTCACAATGTAGACCAGGCTGACCTCAAACTCACAGAGATTGTCTTGCCTCTGCCTCCTGAGTGCTGGGATTAAAGGAGTGTGCCACCACACCTGACCCTGAGATTCTAGCTCCCTCCCCTCCCCCGTTGTTTATTTATTTTTATTTTTATGAATATTTTACCTGCATGTAAATGCACTATGTGTTTGCACTGCCTGAGGAGGCCAGACGAGGGTGGCAGATTCCCTGGAACTAGAGGAGCAGATCATGTGGGTGCTGGGACCTGAACCTGGGTCCTCTAGAAGAACAGCCAGTGCTCTTAATCACTGAGCTATCTCTCCACCCCCAAGATCCCATCTCTTTAATTAATTAATTAATTAATTAATTAATTAATTAATTGATTAATTAATTGGACTAGCCAGGCATGATAATACATGCTTATAACCCCAACAGTTTGGAAATGAAGACAGGAGAATCAAAAGTTAAAGGTGAGCCAGTGAGATGGTTCAGTGGGTAGAGTGCTTATGCATAGCATAGACCTGACTACTTTAGTTCAGTCCCCAGATTCTATAAGAGAGCCGGAGAAAACCAACTCCTGAAAGTTGTTCTCTGACATCCAACTGTGGCATATGTGCACCTGTGTGTGTGTGCAT